GATAGACTCACAGAAAGTAGGTCCCAGGGGGCTTACAGATCACAGAGTCTAAGCCTTCCCCATTCACAGTGACATCTAGAGAGGACCTGACAAGGCATGGTCCGCCCTGTCTCATGAACCTCTAGGACCTGCTCAGGCTGTGTGCACACACTTCTAAATGATTAGATAACAATCCTGCATGTGAGCCAGCATCTGTCTGCCTCTAGCTTCTCTCCTCAGCCCTCCATCTACCTTCTGAGTTCCGTCCGAGGCAATCCAGTGAGCTGGGAACGTGCCCAGACTCTGAAGCAAACCTTCTGTGGCGAAATTCTAGTTCTAGAGCTGACTAGCTCTGTGATTTGGGGAAAATCTCTTCATATCTTTGAGCTTCACTTTCTTCACTTATAAAATTAAAATAATAATAGCACATTTTCTATATTTATAGCAAGGAGAAAATGAGTTAGCTTATACAAAGTTAGGATTCAATCAGTGTTTGAAAACTTATTAGGAGACCAGAGTTTTCATCTTGATTTCCTCATCATCATCTGTGAAATAAGTCTACTTCTAGTCTCAGAGTTCCTGGAAGCGGGGAGGCAGTGAGTGTGTCTGAGAATGAAGCTACTTTGAAGCTTGAGGTTTATTTTAAAAACGTTTGTACATTTTACTCTTCAACATAAAAATAATGGTTTTGTTCTAAAATGAGCACTGTGGGAAGATGTGCTGAGATTATCTAATCGAATCCAGCACCTCCTCTTACACACCCAGACACATTTCCATAGAGGTCAGGGATTTTCAGTCTTTTCAGCTCCAGGTTAAGGCCAGGCCTTGGCTTGGTCACTAATAAGCTGAGGGTCCATGGCCCACCTTCCATGTATACATGGGTTCATTCTCTCAAATGGAGATGCTAGCTCCTGGCTGCCCTGCCCACCTGTAGGGAGGGTTGGATGGGGCAGTTTGTATCTATGTCACTTCACAGAGGCAGCCCCTCACTAAGGGAGACCAGCAGTTTCTGAGACTGACCATCCTGAGCACAAGCAGAGCTTTCTCTCCAAATGACCTCAGGGAGGGGCCAGGCTTCCTGCTCAATGCTGGTGGGATGAGGGGAGACTGGGAGCTGCCAGTTCCTCTTGGGGCCTCAGATAGTCACTTCGTTGTCTGCCAGGCCAAGTGGGCCTGTGCCCAGATCATGGTGAGTGCTCCCAGGACAGGCCTGCGCTCTCCCCAGCACTTTTGGGATCCCTGCCAGATGGAATGTCCCTAGCATCCCTCAGTGTGCCATGGTCAGCTTTTTTCACCCTGTCTGAACCCAGATGAGCTCTGGTGAACTCAGAATGCCCCAGAGCCAAGTCTTAGTGAAGAGTTTCAACTGTGTTTCCATACTTGTCCATTTGGATGCTGAGCTGATGCATCTTCTAGCCTTCCTGTGCTTCTGTGCATCCAGGATGCTCCGATGTCATTCTGTTTTAGGAACCTGTGCTGAGAGCTCCTGGGTGTATAGACTACGCAGGAGCTCCCAACCTAGAGCAGCCCCGCCCAACAGGATGTTCTGTGATGATCGAAACGTTCTGTATCTGCACTGACCTATATGGCAGCCACCAGCCACATGTGGCTAATGAGGTTGAGGAAGTGAAATTCAAATGCTATGTCACGGAATCATTTAAATTTAAATAGGCACATGTGGTTGGTGGCCTGTACTGGACAACACAGGTTTCATTGGAAAGACAGCTATGAAGGCACATCCAATGAGCCACTCCCGTGAAGGATGGAGAGAGACGATTTATATAGAACATTTTCATCATCACAGAAGATTCTGTGGGCTGGAGCTGCTCTAGGGAACAGAGCATTTGCAGTGGGCATTAAATCACTAGGGATGCTTGAACAGAGAAGGGTAAGGGTGGACCACGTGGAGGGAATGCCTGAGCCAAGGCAAGGAGGCAGGAGAGTACACCTGCCTGACTGCACAGTCCCTGCCCAACAGAGGCAGACAGGTTCCGTAAGGAAAGGAAGGCGAGGGCCATTCATCCACTGAAGTCTGTCTGGGTTGTTTCCAATTTTTCATAATTCTGTCTTCTAAGAAGCCCTGGTATTGCTGTGGTTTAGGTATTGGGTTGCTAACCACAAGGTTCAAACCCACCATATGCAATGTTGTTGTTATGTGCCATCGAGTCAGTTCCGACTCATAGCAACCCTGAACAGGGTTTCTGAAGTTGTAAATCTTTATGGGAGCAGAAAGCCTCATCTTTCTCCCATGGAGCAGCTGGTAGTTTCGAACTGCTGACCTTGCGGTTCACAGCCCAATTCGTAACCACTACGCTACCAGAGCTTCTTACCATGTGCAATATAGGAGTAAAAATAAGCTTGTCTGTTCCTGTAGATATTTAGTTTTGGAAACCCTGGGTGAGTCAAGGAGCTCTGGTAGCATAGTGGTTACGAATCGGGCTGTGAACCGCAAGGCCAGCAGTTCGAAACTACCAGCTGCTCCGCTGGAGAAAGATGAGGCTTTCTGCTCCTGTAAAGATTTACAGCCTCGGAAACCCTGTTCAGGGTCACTATGGGTTGGAACCGACTTGACGGCACTTAACAACAACAACAATAGGTAAGTCGGAATTGACTCTGTGGGTTTGTTCTGAGTTTGGTGTTCTTTCTAGGCAGTTCCTATCTGGCCCTTTGGCTAGAGCAAGCAGGCTTTGGTTGGATTTTTTCCTCCCCTTTATTTGCGCCTTTGTCATTGCTGGGCTGCCAGAGTCTTCAACTCCAAGTCTAGGATATATAAGGACAGAGAATCCCCAGGGAACTCACCACTATGTTGTTCTTTGGGGCCCAAGGAACCTAACCGGTCTTAATTCTTCTCTGTTGCTTTCAGAATCTCTTGTATTTATCTTATCTTCGTTTATAGCATCTGGGATTTTTAATTGTACTTAGTAGAAGTCCTTGAAATCTTGGTGTGGTGCTGTAGGATAATGCAGTGGACCACAAGATCGGTTGGACTCACTAGGTCAGCAGTTCAAATTTACCAGTCACTCCATGGAAACTCTATACAGGGTCGCTATGAGTCAAAACCCACTTGAGGGCAATTAACAACAGTGGCAATCCTTCTCTTCTGTGTCTTTTAAGACTCCTTTTGGAAATGCTAAAAATTATTTTACTATACATGGTATCTTAGCAATCTAGTGCTGCCCTAACAGAAATATCACAGTGATGGCTGTAACAGAAATGTGTTCTCTCATGGTTTTGTTGGTTATGTGCAATGGAGTCGGCTCCGACTCATAGTGACCCTGTACAGGGTTTCCGAGGCTGTAAATCTTTACAGGAGCAGAAAGCCTCCTCTTTCTTCTGCAGAACAGCTGGTAGTTTCGAACTGCTGACCTTGTAGTTTGCAGCAGTTTGAAGAAGTAAGTCCGAATTCAGGGCACTCACTCGAGGGAAAGGCTTTCTCTCTGTGTTGACTCCCAGTTTAAGAGGAAGGTTCTTGTCTCCTCTGACCATCTGTGAGCGTGGTTCTACATGGAGGTCTCCATGTGTCTTGGCGCCGTCTTTCCCTGGGTCTAGGAGGTTCCCAGAGCAGGGACTCTGGCTCTGAAGGATGCATTTCACTCCGGCTCTTCTTTCTTGGTGGTGATGAGGTCCCTCTGATCTCTATTTCCTTGTTTAAATTCTTTTCTATCTCAAGAGATTGACTCCAATTACAGTCTAATAGATTGCATCTGTCTCATTAACTTAACTGTCTCTAATCATACCTCATTAACATCATAATTACATAAGATCACAGAATGGAGGAGAATCATGGCCCAGCCAAGTTAACACATATTTTGGGGAACTCAATTCAATCCATAACACATGGTAATTCAAACAGCACAATAATATAAAGAGAAAACAAAATCCTTCCAAATCCTATCAACAGCATTTTGTTGTTGTTGGGAAGTGCCATCGAGTTGGTTCTGACCCATAGCGACCTTGTATAGGATTTCTGAGGAGCAGCTGGTGAGCTTGAACTGCCAACCTTGCAGTTCAAACGGCTTTGCAGTCTGACGCATTAACAGTGCCACAACAGCATACGTCCAGATATTTTCTATGCAAATATATGTGTGTGAAAAATACAGGTAAAATTTCCCCCACCACCACTCAGTATCATTTCATGACCATCTTTCCAGGCCAGTGAGTAAAGATTGGCATCATGATTTTACAACCCACGTTCTATTATAAGACTGTTGTTGTTAAGTGTCGTTGAGTTGGTTCCAACTCAAGCGACCTTGTCTAGGGTTTCAGAGGAGTGGCTGGTGAGCTTGAACCACTGACCTTGCAGTTCCAACTGACCTTACAGTCCAGCGCATTAACCCACAGTGCCACACCAGGACTAACCATCATTTATTGAAGTAACTTCCTCTTGATGAATGTTTGTTTCCCTTTCCCTGACCTTTATACTCAAGAAAATCCTCATCATATTCTTGCCAACACTGCACACTGTCATATTTTTGCTTTTTCAATCTTTACTTCATGATCAGTATAGATTTGGGAGTAGGGGGTTAATGGGATCAGAGTGGGGCTTTAGGAACATAAACTCTGGCATTGCTAACTTGCTGTGTGATCTTTGGCAAATCCTTTTCCCTCCCTCAGTTGGTTCATTTTTAAACAGAAGAGATTGGACTAGATCACTAGATCTCCTAGGTTCTTAGCTGCACATTGGAGTCACCTGAGGAGTTTTTAAAGTTAAATTGGCCTAAGCGCCGCACTCACCCCTCCCTGCAACGTTTGGCTTCAGTTAGTACGAGGTGTAGCCTGGGCAGCAGATTTTCAGTCAGTCTCCCCAGGACTAGGCGATTTGAAGGTTCTCTCAGCTCTAATACTCTAAGGTTCATTGGTGGGGTTTCTGCCACAGAGAGAGGCTGTGGTAGGGCAGGGGAAAGAGCTGAATTTGAATCCCAGCTCAGTCACTTCTCGAACCTCCTATCTCATTGCTCTTGGAGAGGGGGATTCAATCTCTGTGGAATGAATGGTGATTATTGTCCTTTTCTTGACCAAAGAGCCAGCCCCTGGGCAACAAAGTGGAAATGGAGATTGTGAACATGTTGGAGAAAAACACAACGCTTCTGAAATTTGGCTACCACTTCACCCAGCAGGGGCCCCGGCTGCGGGCATCCAACGCAATGATGAACAACAATGACCTTGGTGAGTGGAAACACACTCCCTGCCCACCTCTGCCAATGTGTCAGGGAAAAGTCTACCCTTGCCAGAGGCTGGCCCCAGCTTTCCTATTGATCCTGTTGCATTTGTTTTCCCTCATGTGTTCATGTTTTGTCTGCTCCCCTAGACAGTGAGCTCACTCCCTAAATGCCAGGGCTGGACCTCCTCCCCTTTCCCGGCACAGTGTAGCTCAGTGCAGGGCCTGAGCTCCCACTCAGCATACTGGCTGAATTCCAAGAAGCTTAAAGCATCCAAGTCTCACCTACAAGTGTTTTCTTCTTCTGACTCTTCTCTAAACTCTGAGGAGTCCTCTCCAGATCACATGGTCTCAATCCCAAACCTTGTGAGCTCATGAGACTTCATATTGCTTTTAAGGTAAAAGTTGAAAAGTCACCTTCAAAAGTAAAGTAAAACCAGGTCACATTCACTTAATCTAAGAATAGTGTCAGTCTTTATTGTCAGTCAGACAGTAAGAAATAATGTCAGACTTTTTTATATGTCAGTTCAGTACACAAGTCAATTGAATGAAAAGGTTGACTTTCAGAATGGCACGTCTACACCTGTTTTCATGTGTATTTATGATGATATCCTGTTGGTGGCTAAAAAAAACTTGGTATGGTTTACACTAAAGGAAGTATATATGTCTCATGAATGAGACTATAGGAAAACAATAGAAAATAAAAACCAGGAAAAAGAGCATGGTTGATCATTGCATTTAGTCACACATTTCACAGAACCAAGGCAAAAGACAAACCAGTTTTTATGATTCTTACTAAAGAAGAGATTGTTGTTGTTATTGTTAAGTGACATAGAGTCAGTTTTGTCACATAGCAACCCTGTACAGGGTTTCTGAGGAGTGGTTGGTGGGTTTGAACTGCCAACCTTGCGGTTAGCAGTCCAGTGCTTATCCTATAGTGCCACACCAGGACCCCAGAAGAGAAGAAAAATTAGTTTCTTAAAATATATTTTACAAAGGACATTGTCTTCGGTGAGTTTTTCATCCTGTTCAGACCTGCTGTACCGTGACTCTTGGTTTCTCAGCCTCAATAAAATGTGAAGAGTTTAATGGTGTTGGTAAGTGCCATCGAGTCCGCTGCAACCCACAGAGACCCTGTAAAGGATTTCCAAGGAGCAGTTGGCGGATTTGAACTGCTGATCTTGTGGTTTGCAGTCCAGTGCTGATCCTACAGCACTAGACAAAGAAATGGATGTTAAACCATAACTCAGAGTTCAAGGGCGACACATCCTGGTGGTGACGCTGAGGCCAGGAGAGCACCAGGGCGCCCCTTGAGGACAGGAGGTGTGTAGGTGTGCATACCTAGGCAGGTACTCGCAGAACCCATAAGCAGACAGAACCACAGTGGTAGACACTCTCACACCCAGGCTGACCGTAGGCTGACTCCCTCCCTCCCTCCAACCAGTAGTGATCAAGTCCTGCAGAGTACTGGGAGTTGGGGACAATGGGAATCTGCTCTTCATGATGTCATAGTCCAGGGACCACTCGTTCATTGCTTATTGCAGCTGCCACTTTTTTCTACAGCTGTGGGTCTAGAAAAGCTTGTTTAAGAAAAAATGTCCCAATGTTCTAGATGACCAGAAGTACACTTGGTGGTGGTGGTAGTGTGCTGTTGAGTCGGCTCTGACTCAGAGAGACCCTGTGTAGGGTGTCCGAGGCTGTCAATCTTCACAGGAGCAGAAAGCCTCATCTTGCTGCTAGTAGATTTGAACTGCTGACTTTGCAGTTAGCAGTCCAATACATAACTACTATGATACCAGACCTCCTCAAAGTGTACTTTTCTGGAATAAAATATGAACCAACATGGACAACTGAAAATACCCAAAAGTTAATGATTATCGCTAATAGAAGTGGTAGTTGCTAAACTGAATTGTTGTGGGCCAGCAGTCTAAACTGTTGGTCTAGTTGTGATATGATTTAGAACCAAAACTTAAGCCTTGAGTTTTATTCTGATAGAACAATAGCTTCATGATTTTCCTCCTACTTTAAATGTTTTATGGGCTCCCTCAGTTCCCAGCTTGGGGTTAATCCAGCTTTTTGTCTTCCAATGGCATGATGGTCTGGGGACAGGGGTTCCAGAGGAGGTGGGCAAGAGAGGGGGTAGCAGGATCCACTGGAGTTTGAAAAAACAGCCACTGAGGACTTTCCTCCTCTTTGATTCTGAAATGCAGATCTCCCTCCCCCATTACTGGTAACTGTTGGAGGCCAGGGTCGCTGTTATTTCCTGTTGAGCAGATTTTGACTCATAGCACTCCATGTGACAGAACAGAACTGCCCCATAGCCCTGGGGGTTCTATAGGATAAGCAATGGACTGCTAACTACAAGGTCAGCAGTTCAAACCCACCAGCAGCTCCTTGGGAGAGAAAGACGCGTCTGCTCCCATAAAGACTGACAGCCTTAGAAACCCCCTTTAGGGTCATTATGGCTTAGAATCAACTCGATGGCAGTGTTTTTAAATTTTAATTGTTTCAATAGAGTTTCTTAGACTGCAGTCTTTATGGGAGTGGACTGACAGGTCTCTCACCCACTGGAAGGTACTGGGTGGATTTGAACCACCAGCCCTTTGGAGGCTATGGTAGGACGCTTGTATGACAGAGCTGAGAGGGACTTCCGAGCTCATCTCATTCAAGTCCTTAAAGGAGAGTTTCTAGGCAGCGGCTCCACCAGGTCCCATCAACTGTTACCTCCAGCCACTGTATACCATGTGACTGCTGTAGGCCCGGGACTGCGCTGGGTGACATACAGGAGAGCAGAGATGCAGCTAGTCCTCTGACTCACGCAGCCTTACAACCTTTTAAGGGAGAAAAGACTGAGAGGCATGTCTAAAAATTCAAGAATGCTTACAACCTGTATCCAAACAAAGTGATGAAATGACTTATGAGGTCAGAGGCCAGTTAATGAGGGGCAAGTCGGGGAGGGGAGTTAGCCAGCCTTGACAAGAAAGATAGACCGATGGGTGAGATCAGGAGGCACCCCTGGCAGAGGTACCAGCATAAGCAAAGGCAGGGTGGTAGGACCCAGTATGCAGTACGGGAGACACAGATGTAAATGGATTGAAGGAAAGATTTTAGGGAGTGAGAGGTCACAGAGAAGGAAGATCATTGCCAGCCAAGGGAAGAGCATGAAAACAGGCCGGACAATAGACAAGCATTCATACAGGATGTTCACCAAGACTGGGGTTGACAGGTGGTGAGGAGGCTTTGAGACAAGAGCCTCAGCCATGTTCAGGAGTTTGGTAATAGAAGCAGGTAGGAAATGAAAACTATGGCAGTTTCCTGGGCAAGGAGGACAGGTGATAAAAATGAGCTTCTGGGTAGTACAAATGGTTAAGTACTTGACTTCTAACCAAACATTTCCCAGAGGTGCCTTGGAAGAAAGTCCTGGTAATCTGTTTCCAAATAGTCACAGCCTTGACAATCCTGCGGAGCGTAGATCTACTCCGTAATACGTGGGATTTCCCAGGCGTTGAAATTGACCTTGACCACGTTTATTTATTTTGGGGAGCAAGGGGTGATGGGAGAAGTCACCTCAGGGACTCACAGTGTCTCTATGAGTCCGAATTGACTTGATGGCACAAGCCTCCCTGTCCCTTGGGAACTGAGCAGCTGCTCCCTCAGGGTTTCACAGTAGGAGTTGGAGAAATCTTACTGATGACAGCAACCTTATCAGTGATAGTTAGGTGGTATAGGATTCTACCTTTAACAGCAAATGTGTGCCCATCTGCCAAATTTTACAAGAGAAATTCTTTGGAGTCTGAGGTGCATCAACGTCTTCCTGCAAGAGAAATCCAGACTTCCTTCCAAGCAGGGTACTTTCATACTGCTCTCCATGTGACTGTGAAGCAGACAGGCTGCTGTGTTTTCCCTCTGCACATTCTTATCGTGAGAGCCTCCTTCAATGGACCCATAGGGCTCCCAGATCTGTGAGGGACAGGCCACTCAGAGCCCAAAACTCCTCCTCTGGAGTGCTCAGGCTTGGCTGCCTGTGAGGTGCATGTGGTCCTCCTGAGGGGCATTAAGGTTAGCTGGTGCCTCTGCAGACGTGCAGCCAGCCTGGGGGTATGTCGGACCTGTGCACTGGACTGGTGACTGCACACCCCCTCTGTGTGTAGGAGCAGAGTGGGTGTCAGGTGTGAAGCCTCATCTGCATTTCCCTGCAGCAGTACCACAGATAATGGTCTCCACCCCCTTGGGAGCCAGGCTCACTGGGTGCTCAGATCCCAGAAATCTGCAGCTGAAGCACTGTCCACATGAAAAGCCAGAACTGCAGGCCCCAAGTTAGATATGTGTGTGTTTGGGGCATAAGGTACGGAGGGGGAGTGACATGTTTAAGAGCAGAAAACATCCTCTCCGAGGAGAGTCCCTCTTTTGCTGTATTCTCAAGAACAACCTTTCCAAGAAGTACCAGACACACCCAAACCAAAAGTCAATCTGTTGAGTTGGTTCTGACTCATGGAGCAGAACTGCCCCATAGGGCTTCCTGGGCTGTAAACCCTCATGGAAGCAGACTCCATACCACTCTCTCACAGAGCAGCTGGTGGGTTCAAACCAGCCACCTTCATTGCAAAGTTTACAACCCATTCTGGGCTCCCATTGCCCGTGAGACCCTTCATAATCATAGCTTATGGTTCTTATTGGAATCTTGGGGTGGTGCTATAGGATAGGCACTGGATTGCTAATTGCAAGGTTGGTAGTTTAAACCCACCAGCTGCTTCTTGGAAACCTTATGAGTTGGAACCAATTCAATGACACTTAACAACAACAATGGTACTTACTGTGTGCCAGGCACTGTTCTAAATACTTCTCATGTTACTACATCATTTCATTCTGCCAACAACCCAGTGAGTAGGTACTGTTAAGCTCTCATTTTACAGTAAGAGTGTGGAGACCTTGAGAAACAGAAGTAGATATAGTTACCCAAGTTAAGAGGGCAGACCTCGGATTGAGCTGAATGGTTTAGCTCCAGAGCGTATATTCTCAACCAAGATTCTCTGGTCCTGCCAAACTCATCTCTCGGAACCTCCTGACAGGCCAGTCTCTTGCCATATTCTGTGGGCTCACTCACGCCAGGTAGCTTGAGAGTCCAGTGAAACCTGTCCTTTAAAGGGCTCCTATTCCTGATATTCCTCTACTTCCTTTCCTTCTACTTTATCACTGAAGATTCAACTTTTGTGTTACCCCTGGCCATCCTCAGAAGATTTGATCACATCTAGGGTACCTTCATTATTCTTGGATCAACTATCAACACTCATGGAAGCAGCAGTCAAGATATCAAACGATGTATTGCATTAAGCAGATCTGCTGCACAAGACCTTTTAAAGGTATTGGAGAGCAAAGGTTGAAGACTAAGGTGCGCCTGACCCAAGCCATGGTATTTTCAATAACTTCATATGCATGTGAAAGTTGGACAGTGAATAAGGAAGACCGTAGAAGAATTGATGCATTTGAGTAATGGTGTTGGAGGAGAATATTGAAAGTGCCGTGGCTGCCAAAAGAACAAACAGATCTGTGTTGGAAGAAGTGCAGCCAGAGTGCTCCTTGGAGGCCAGGATGGCCAAACTTCGTCTCTCATACTT